AATACACATTCCATTATAATTTTGATACCTTAAATTAAAAACTCAGTGAGCTTTGTCAACTTTTGAAATTTACAATTCAAAAGCTATGGTATGAAAATTTACTTGGAATAGACTGAGCCTCTGTGGCTATCTTCTAGAATAGACTTAAGTAAATTGAGGTAAATAGTAATACAGGGGATAAGACTGAGGAGCCTCTTTGGCTTATTTTTAGTCTTATTTTTAGTCTTATCATCTGTGGCTTATTTTTAGTCTTATCCCCTTTTACTTAGGTAAATTAAGTTAAATAGTTTTTCAGAGGAGATATGCCTCCTTTATCGAAGTAAAAAAGAAATACAGGGTCTTTAAAGGATTCGGTCAGGAGAACCACTCCATTTATTGTTGCCACTACTATTGCCATTATTATTATTATCCATTATAACTAATAAGTCATAGCAAACATGAGATTTAGAAGTGATATACATCCCAAGGGAATAAAGAAACATACATGTCAGATTTGCGTCCTAATTGTTTCTGCGGAATAATAATCTGCACTGAGTGTGAATCACTGGTATCTAGGATAGGATGGCTCATTATACATATTGCACAAGACACTCTTCGAACTTTCTGAACTTGTTGAAATAGAGAGTTTTCAGTTTAAAAGTTCAAGGACAGACTAAAATAAGTTGTTTAAATTTAACAATGAGAATCTTTTTTAATGGATATATATTTAGTATATATATACCTTGTCAGGTAAGTAGGAAGGACCACAGGCTACTTTCTTGCATTTGCCAGTCTCCCCCTCAGATGTTACACCATAAGCCTTTTGGCTTTCCTCAAACTCCACCTGTCATCCAAAACAGCAAACAATGGTTGAAACTTCCCCATTGGAAGGTCAAATGATCATCGTTTTTGTGGTTCCTTTTAAAAAATTGTCCTTTTCTTTCAATCTCCCTCTTAGCAAATAATTTTCTTACATTCTATTCTGGTTTGTTAAGCATATAGGTACCACCGTAAACAACACTTAAGCGAGCAAATCCCTGCAAAGGACAAATCAATATCCTAAGATTAGATGAGTTGCAACAAATAAAGCTATCAAAATGATTGATGATGTTTTTCCAAAATTTTGACAGATAAACCTGCTATGACACACACAGTTCAAATTATCCACATCAGATTAATAGGTACTACACATAATGTCTCTCCACATCATTGATGTGTTATCAGTCCATCTCCAAAGCCATTTACCTCGAAGAGCTTTATTCATAGTTTTTAAGTGGAGAATCCATACCCCTCCTTGCCATTTAGGTTTGCACATTTCCCCCCATTTAACATGATTAGATGCTCATTTAGTATCTTCAGATCCCGCCCAAAAAAACCTCCACATATGTTTGTTATTCCTATCAATCGCCCAATGAGGATATTCATATAAAGACATTCAAAAAATCTGCTTTTTTCTTATGTAAGTTCTTCCATTGAATTTGGCTCTACAATAAAGAAATCGCAAGTTCAAAATTTGACTCTAAAAAATAGAGAGATCTGAACAACATCTTAAAGAATTCGATGCCCAACCCTTAGCAACCAGACATAACCATCTATGCGACTAAATTTGTCTTATGTCCTACTAAATCTGTAAACATCACCATCATCATCATCAATGAAGCATTGTTTAATCTGCACACAAAAGATCACCAATAACCACACAAAAATTGATTTCAAAATTTCAAATTATTTGTATGCATAAAAAATTGCCCTTTTCTTTCAATTTCCCTCTTAGCAAATAATTTTCTTACCTTGCATTCTGGTTTGTTAAGCATATCGGTACCAACGTAAACAGCACTTAAGCGAGCAAATCCCTACAAAGGACAAATCAATGGATGCATAAGACATCTAAAATTTTGTCGAAATCTAATCAATGGAAGAAAATTTATGAGTTCAAACCTAGGGGAGTTCACCTAATCCATAAAGAGTGTAAATATATGGAGATCCTCCTTGAAAGTGTAATAGTGACTATGCATAAAGCTAATAAAAACGAAATTTTGATGAGCACCCTTTTACTTCTGCAAGCAATATTAATGAGGAGTCTTTGTGAATAGACTTAAGTAAAAGGGGATAAGATTGAGGAGCCTCTCTGAACTTAATGTAGTAAACTGAAGAACAAAAGGGGATAAGATTGAGATCTCTCGGTTGATGCCTCTTATCTATGTACCTTTTAGGGTTTGAAACCTCCCCTTGTTTCGATGGAGGAACCTCTAGATTTAGAATGAACCCTAGATAATCCCATGTTTGGTTTTCGAATCGGATCGATTCGGGTCCGAACCGGGGTACAAAGAACCGCAATAGAGGCGATTTGGAACAAAATCAAAATATTTTTAGGGTGAGAAATTTTTAGAGAGAGAGAGAATGTTACCGATTGAAGAGGAGGCGGCGGCGATGGACTCTGTTGAGGATGGAGGAGATTTGATACTAATGTCAACGTTGTCGCTGAGGAAGAGTATGATGCTAATGTGATTGGGGTCAGGATTGTTGAAGAGGGAAGAAGATGAGATGGGAATTTGTTGAAGAGGGAAGAAGATGAAATGGGGAAAGGGAAACCACAACGGAGCTTGAGTTCTCAAGGTAGAACACGATGTCTGAAGTTGAAGAAGACGAAGCAGAGATTTAATAAAAATGAGGAAAGGGAAAACCGTACTAGATATGGGGGGAACGTGGGTTGGTTATTCATTTAATTTTTTTCATTGTTTATAATATTAGGTTACTATTCATATCACCTGTTTTGTTGTTCTCTTTTAGTAATAAAGAAATAGATTTAAAATTCTGCAAAAATTAAAAATAAGAAAAATTCATTAGGCTCATGCCTTAGAGCATCTCCAAGGATCCTTACAATGTCCCTTAATCTAGGGGGAGTTTTAAGGGAGGGGGATGTTCTCCTCCAATGGTTCCTCCTTAAAAGTCCTCTTACCCCTTAATTATTCATATTTAGTGTTTTAATTTTATAGATTAAGATTTAATTAAATATATGGTTTATTTATAAATGAATAAATAATTAAATATTAATAACTAAAATTAAATAAATAATTAATTTAAAGTAAGAAATTATCTTATATAATTATTAAATTAATTAATCATATTAAAATTTAATAAATAATTAATTTATATAATAATTAATTTATATAAATCATGTTAAAAGTATTAATTATATATTAACTATATATTAACTAAATTTAATTAACTATACATTAACTTTATTTAAAAAAAAAATATTAATATAAAATTATAAGGGGAAGGTTAAGGGACTTTAACCTTCCCCTTAATTTGGGGAGGGAGTTAAGGGGTTTGGGGTGAAGGGAAAAGTTTTCCGGCCCCTTGGAGCACCTTCCCCTTCATTCTCCCTTAATCTAGCTAAGGGGCCGGATTTTTCCGGCCCCTTGGAGATGCTCTTATGCCTCTGGGTTTCACCTCTTTTGGAGAACTACCTGTTGTCTTTCATCTTATTAGCCTCTTAAAAGTATGATAATAGTATGAAAAATAATTTGTATTTATTGTAATTGTAATAATATTAATAGTATAATAATTTTAATAGTGTTTTTAAATTAATTTAATAATTATACAATTTAGTAAATTATTTACTAATAGTACAATAAACTAATTATTAAATTAAAATGTAGTTGCTAATAGTATTATAAATATGCTATGTATAGTATTATTATATTTAAAAGAAAAGAAATTATTTAATATATAATAATTATTTTAATAAATTATAATAATTATCCAAACTGTGATAATTAATCATATAGTTCTTTATACATAGTTTTATCATATAATTTATTCATTTAAACAAAATTGTGATTGTTCATTTATATTACTATGCAAGTCATTTCATTATTTTATAGCCAACAACAAAAAAATTAAAAAATATAAAACATAATAAATATATTCTCGTCCAAAGCACGTGCACTATACTAGTTAATAGAAAAGAAACTTCCTAGAAAAAATTCACAGACTTTATATCTTCACTTGGCACGATTAATATATTCTAAGAAAAAATTACCCCCACCCACTTTCTGTCTCAATTATTTGATCGAGTCCACAAATTTTTTTTACCCAGATGTAAAAGACTTACATCCACGCATGCGTGGCCTGCTTCATTACATTTGCAGCCCAATTATAGCTTCTCCAACCCAACGCTAAATCGCCAATATGACGCAAACTCAACGCCATTTCACTCTCCAACCGTGCGCTATTTTTAGCTCTATTTTGGGAAGGTGCTACAGTGTCGCACAAGATTTGGCGCAACACTGTAGCTTTGGCGCAGAATTTTTTGGGGAGGTTCTCATGTGAAACCGATGACCTTCTCGTTGATGAGGATGGCGTTGCTCATTTGCTGCAGCGCGCAGGAGATGCTCCCGCCCAATTGGACGAGCACCAAGGCTGATGTTTTGTTGAGTTCTAGGGTTAGGGTTTTTGGCGAGGGAGCGAAAGGGGGAAATTCGAAGAGTAGAAATTAAGAGAGAGGGAGAAAGAGGAGATGATCATAGGCTGTTCCTTTGCATATCAGTCCCTTTACATCATTGGTGTTATGGTATTAGCCCCCCATATCTTCATAATTTGACATTAGAGTCCCCAAACCTTCATTGGTAATTTAATATTAGTCCTCCAAACCTTCATTCGTATTATATAATTATGAAAGTAATATTTATACTTTAATTTGTGGTGTTAAATGTAAATGTAATCTTTAGTTGAATGTAAATGTAATCTTTAGTTGAATTTATGAAAGTAATATTTTAATTTGATTTAGCATTTAATTTTTATATTTTTATTTTATTCATAAAATATATTATTATAATTAATTATATGTAATATATTATATAATTATATAATTTGTTAAATATTTTTTAAATAGATAAAAATGTTAAAAGATAAGAATAATAAAAGAAATATTATTTTTTGTGTAAAATTTGGTGTAATGGATTGGAGAGATGCTCTTAAGCCCCCATTTTGACGCCACCCACTTTTTGTCTCAGTTATCGGATCGAGAGTCCTCAAAAATTTCCCGCTCACTGTCTCAGATACTTGATTGAGAGTCCTCCATAATTTACAAACCCTAATTGTCATCTCCTTTCTATCATCAATGATCGATAGTCCCCGACCATGATCGGTGATCTCTGCAATGACGACGCCCTCCATGTGCTTGACCGCAGCAAACACTAAATCCTTGGTCCCTTCACATCATCGACGACGAGATCTCCCTCGGCAAACCCTAAATCCTCAATCTCTTCACATCGTCGACGAAGACCACTCTCTCTGCAAACCCTAAGTCCTCGATCCCTTCACATCATCGACGACGACCTCTCCCTGCAAACCCTAAGTTCTTGATCCCTTCACATCGTCGACGGCGACCTCTCCCTCTGCAAATTGGCAATCTTTGCAAACACCAAGTCTTCACATACTTCATATCTTCGACAACGACCTCTCCCTCTACAAATTGACGACCTTCGCAAACCCGAATTCTTCAGCCCCTTCATATCATTGACGAGGTACCAAACACTTCTTCCCCTTCTCAATTTCGGAACTTGATTTATGATTTTGATTGCAATTTAAGTCCCTGTTGCTTTGGTTTATGGTTTTGGTGCCTTGAAATAATTGAAATGATGATTCTAGATAAAGGTGAAAATTTTGTATCGCTTTGCTTCAATATGCATGTTATTTGTATTCGATGGTTTAGTTATCGTTAGTATTCTCTCAGTTTCAGAACTTGATTTATAAATTTTGTTTCTCAGACAAGTTGATTTATGTATTTATGGAATAGATTTTGATAAGGTATTAAAGCGTAGCAGAAACAAGTCAAAAATTGGAAAAATATGCTATGAATTTTTTGGTGCATAGTTTTAGTAGTCTTTGTTGAATCCCTAACTGTCAATCTAATTGGAAAGAACTTTGTGATCATACTATATTTGAAGTTCCAGGGCTTGATTTGGTGTGGTATTAAAAAAATACTGTGATCCTTGGCTCTATGATCCATATAGATATTGGATGATGGAACTCATTGTATCATATTCGATTGATGTCAAATATGCAACCTTTTGTGTTTTGCACATGTGTAGAATTACTGAATAACTACAATGATGGTTTAGTTGATTAGATAATATGTTCTCGTCACATGTAATTATTATTCATATTTCAACAAAAAGTTCCTAATGCTGCTCCAACTTTCCAATATTTTCAAATTGGCACTTACCAATTGTTAACTATGGCCTTAAATTGTCTTATATTGTTTATGACCAAAAATTCATCGTATTTAGTATGCTAATTAGTTATCGACAAGGCTAGGAAGAATGGATATTGATTTGCAAATATGAAATCAGTAATTTGTCTAGGGGAATTGCAACAATCTTTGTGCACATTCTCATTTTATGGTTGGCATGAAGGCTAACCTAGTGCGAGATCTTTAAATTAGATCTAGATATTCACATATGTGCCACAAAGACAATATTCGCATATGTGCCACAAAGACAAAGGTTATTAACTGATTTAGATTGCAATCCTAGTGAACTTCTGGAGGATAAAATCATGGACGAGCTTATCAGGTGGTAAAAGCTTTATATTTTCTGTTTCTTGTTGGAGGCCTTCACCTATAAAATCATGGACGTGCTTATCAAGTGCTCAAAATTTTGTATAATCTTTTTCCTGTCGGACGCCTTTATCTAGTAAGTTATTGATCAAATGGGATGAGTCCTTTTAATGACAATAGAAGAATAAGATCACCGGCCTGCATTTATAAGGGATGCAAGGGAAATTCAATTTGTAGAGAAACTGATTTCAACAATTAAAACCGATGATGAGAAGTAGCAAACATAGTGCTCCGATAATGAGAAGTAGCCAGATTGATGAGCATTCTAGTCATAGTGCTCTGATGATGAGAAGTAGCACAGAAGAATATCCTTCAAGGTATTCTGGACATAGTGCTATTGGTCTTGTTATTTTGTCTGATTTACTGTGCTCTTTACTTAACTATAACAAAATGAATTACTTTTGCAACTGGAGAGTGTGGTATCGAGAGGTATTTTGCGAGGCATTCTACATCTAGTGCTACTGGTATTTACATTTACTTTTCAATGGTGAATTATTAATGTGCTTAGTTTACTGTAAAACTTATCATAATGAACTACATTTGCAGCTGTAGACCATGGCAACTAATAGATGACATTAATATGAAATTTCACACTTTCTATCATGATGGTATACTGTCTTGATACATTTGCATATGAATGAAAATGTGAATCAATTTTGTTAATAGTATCTTGTCCTATTCATGATTTTAGGTAGTTAATGTGTTTTCCATATTCTGATACCTTTATCAGCTTCATGTTTCTGTGTCCATTTTGATACTTGCTTCTTCAAGTAAACCTATAATTTTTTTTTCCTTTACTATGAAATAAACACTTGTATAATATTCTGCTTCAAAGAGGGTGTTGTAGCTGTTAACATTATGAAGTTGATGCCATAATGGATTATGAGGTTTTTTAGTGTCAGCGGCTGATTTCATTTTTAAATGAATGTTCAGTTTTTTTTGTTATTTACAATGAAATTCACAGCTGATATCAAAGTTAGCTCCTTCTATCTCCGTGAACAAATTTTATGGTTTCCAAATGGAGATGTAAATGTAGTTTAAACTATGTTCCCTAATGTAGTAGATTAGATTATAATTTGCATTAGAAACAAGAATCTATAGTAAAAGAATATCATAAAAACATTTTTGTTTAAATTTAATATTTATGTTGTTTAGTGATTTACTTTGTGAGAGGATCATAACTTGTTTTAGAGGATGTAGAGTTAAGACTAAGTGATTTCTTTCTTTTGCTTATTTCACTATGTGAAGGTATGTTTCTATGTTTATTTCTTCCTTTTTTTGTCTTTCCTATAAGCTCTAGATTCATTTCTCCATCAAAATCTATGCTATCTTTACTACTATCGTCCTCGTCTCTCTTCTTTTTCTTCTTCCTCTTTTCCTTTTTATCACTTAATGCCATTTCAGGCTCCTTCCATTTGATAGTTTTCTTATTATTATTCTCCATTGACATAGATGAATCCAACAACTACTACTTGCTGAATGAAACTGGAACTAAGAGCAAGGAGAAAGGGCTGTGAGCAGAGAAGTGGTGAGAACAAGATACATGTTGTCACTGTTAGGAGCTGATCGTCAAAGAACTGTAGAGGGGGGAGAGAGATGACTGAGGCGGCAACAGGTGGATAAGAATTTTCCTGGGGATTTTTATGCCCTAGATTGAAGAAGGTTGTATTGCTGGATGCCGAAAGGGTGACCATTACTTATCCAACTCTTGGACCCGACCCAACCCTACATGTTTTTATGAAATTACCCTCAAATCATGAAAATTACTATTAGATCCCTCAAATCTTAAGTTATCCTAAAATTAGTCCCTCAAATCACTGAAATTGTTATAAGTCCTGCAAATCTTAATTTATTTTAAAATTAGTCCCTAAAATCATTGAAATTCATCACAACGATATTTTGGGTCAGAGTTAGTCTTATTAAATATTAGGTCGATTTTTCCTTGAGAAACCAAGCAATTAAGGAACTCACATGCAGACTGCATGAATCAAATAATAAATTTAGGGAGTTTTTTGATATTGGTTCCTAATATCTTTCATATTCTGAAATTATTTCCTCAAATCATGAAAGTTGCTATTAGGTCCCTCAAACCTTTGTTATTTTGAAATTATTCCCTCAAATCATTAAAATTGGTATTAATTTGCTCAAATTGTAAGTTATTTTAAAATTAGTTCTTTAAACCAATAGAGAAAATAGCAAATAAAGACAAAGTAGTCACTTAAAGTCATTTAAATTGCTATTAGATCATTAAATTCTTATAGGTTGTTTTATATTAATCCTTCTAATTCCTAGTTTTACTCTTAGTTGGAGGGACTAATTCTAAAATAACTCAAGATTTGCTGGACCTATAACAATTTCAATGATTTGAGTGACTAATCTTAAAATAACTTAAGATTTGCAGGACTTATAACAATTTCAGCGATTTGTGGGACTAATTTTAGGATAACTTAAGATTTGAGAGATCTAATAGTAATTTTCATGATTTGAGGGAAATTTTGTAAAAACGGGACGGGACGTGTCGGGTCAGGTTGGATCTGGGGGTCGGATAAGTAATTGCCACCCCTCGGCCTCGGGCGTCCAGCAATACAACCTTCGTCAATCTAGGACATAAAAATTCCCAACAAAATTCATCTCCCCCTTTTGCCGCCTCAATCGTCGCTCTCCTCTCCTCCCTCTACAGTTTTTTGACGATCAGCTCCTGACGGCGGTGACAGCTATCTTATTCTCACCCCTTCTCTTCTGCTCACCGCCATTGCTCCTTGCTCTTAGTTCTAGTTTCTGTTGATCATGTAATCGTTGTTGGATTCTTCTATGTTAATAGAAAATATTAATAAGAAAAGTATCAAATAGAAGGAGTCTGAGATGACATTGAATGATAAAAAGGAGAAGAGGAAGAAGAAAAAGGAGAAGAGAGGTGCAAAGGACGACAACAATAAAGATAGCACAGATTTTGATAGAAAAGATGATTTTAGAGCTCATAGGAAAGACAAGAAGAAGCAAGAAAGGAGGAATGTGGAATCTTTACGGCTAGAAGCTAATGAGATTGCTAGTGCAACAGGTACAGAGAGTATGGAATTGATAGACAAGGAGAAGAGGAGGAGGAAAAAGAAGAGAGATAAAGAGGAAGATGACAATAAAGAGAGTACAAGCGTTGATCAAGAAGGCGAAAAGATTGGTTTTTTATCACTAGAGTCTAGTGAGAAATCCACTACTGCAGGAGATATAGGATGTTATCAAAGCGAAGAGTGCGATGGTTCAGTTATTGGTAATAAGAAGAGAAAAGGGGAAGTCAGCATTGAAGCAGGAACTGATAAGAAGAAGAGGAAGAAAAATGAGCAGAAGGATGGAGCAAGTGACAGGGCGAAGCCCTCATCAGGAAAATCTAAGAAAGCTACTAAGGATAAGGTTGGAAAAGAGACAGAGGAACCTACTTCGGCGATGAAGAAGAAAGTGGCATCTCAGCCAGAGGAAAATTCAAAATTGAAGAGGGTTAGTTTTTCCGGCGACATAGAGGTATTTCCGCCCAAGGTTAACTCTGACGGTGAAGAAGAAGAATATGATGAGGACAACTTGGTCCGCGGGAAAAGATTCACCGAGGCAGAAGATCAGTTGATCAAAGATTCTGTTTACAATTACATAAAGGTGAGTTTCTTGATTTTCAAATAATTAGATAGACTCCTCCGGATAAGATACACACACATCACAAGTTTCCATCTTATTCTATTGTGATTACGATTAGTATTTCCCTTTTATGAGTTAGTGTTTGTTGTCAAATACTCTTCATTACACTGCGATAGGATGTCATTTGGTTTAATGCTCCTGTTAATGTTCAAGCATTTTCACATGAGGTTGCTTAGGAAGGCTTGCCTCTATAAATTGCGAGTCTCACAGACTGCAACTTATGGTTTCTTAGCTTTAATGTGACCTTTTTTTAAACTGTATATTGAATTTCAAGTTTATTTTTCTGACTCTGTTTGACCATTATAAGTTAGGGTTCAATATTTGTGTAGACTTATTGCTAAAGACCTTAACACGTTAGCCTGTATGATTAAGCACAATATAGATCCACTCAACCAGATATAAGTTGGGCAATATATGTGCAGTAGTCAATTCTTGTTGAATACTCATGTAGCTTAAGTTAAATACGTTGACCTGTTAGCACCAATGATTAAGCACAATAGATAGATTTGCTTCCCATCAAGTTTGTTGACACTGTTTGCTTAAAGAGCGAAACAACTATTAGATTATTTTTTCAATAAAACTTCTTGATCTTTTTACTGATGTACAATGCATGAAAAGTTTCTCATGTTTTCTTCAGCTACTCTTCTATTTTCAATTTCATGTGTATGTGCATCAATTGACATCGTAATAAATGCTAATGCTTTTTTTTATTTTCCAGACAAATCAGTTAGGAGAGAAAGGCTTGGAAATGGTACTCAATTGCAGAAAATATAAAGAAGTGAGAGGTTGCTGGAAGGAAATCAGTAGGCCCTAATGACACTTATATGACTTGTATTATGCTTGTCACGAGGCTTATGCAATTTCTTTTGTCTATTTTGATTTTCACTTGCTTTCTCTTTTCTGTCAATCAGATTGTAGTTACCCTGTTAACATTTTTTTCATGTTAATTCAAGGTCTAGGAAGCAAATGACCGAACAGAGCATATATTCAGCTGGAAATGACCTTAAGCTGAAAGCATGTTAAATGACCAGACAATCTTATGAAGCATATAGAACTCTGACCTATTATTACCTGACCTCTCAGCACCTTTGTCAGTCAACCCGTATTTATCTGAGATGCATAAAATTTCTTGTTATAGGAGTAGATTAATTTAAGATGTACCCACATTAGCATCGATAGTTTATTTAGTAGTATATTGAAGATGTGAGTCTGTCAGCATGCACTACCTTTTGTTGCATGCTTATGGTAGAATCATATTTTAATTTGTTCACTTTGTTGGATATCCTGTTTAAGATTCCATTGTCTATATTTCTCTTAGATGACAAAACTGCATGCATCCTCTCCTGCATATGCTAAGTTTTGGGGTAAAACCTTTATCGTCAACTACCAAATTGGCAATCAGCCAGTTCGTATTAATCCACCATCCTTAATTGAGTTTTGTTATTTCTTTTGCTTCTTCACATACCTATCTCTATATCTTTTCAACTCACTGCTATAAATATGTGTATCCTATTAGGGAGGAAAAGTGTTTCTGCCTTTCCTACCATGCATCTCTTATGGAAGAAAATATGTAAAACATATTTTCAACAACTTCTATAAGCCCCAGGGCAGAGGGGGTTTGAGCTCTATGTATCAATCTATTGTCATGCAAGTTTCTGTGCGTCTGTAACTGGCTGTACGCCTGTACCACTGTAGTGCTTACACCTATAATATATCATTGCTTATTTACATTTCAGTATGTTGATTGTAGGTGCTGCCATACCTTATAGACCTCTTGTAGCGGTGTATTGTCGAGGGCGTTCTTTATTTGAGAGGAGCGAAGAGCGTGGTTTCACTGAAGAAGAGAATGAAATTATTAGAAAGTAAATTAAACCCTTGACTTTTAATATTTCATGTCTTTAATTTACTAGTTTTCTAGCTTTTGGAAAATTTTAGGCTTCCTGTTCCCGCATGTGCGTGTTTTATTCCATTCAGAAACATGATCTTTTACTGTATGAGTTCTGACATGAGTGCCCTACTGTTCTAGCACATGGTTTTCGTGCCTTTGAATTTATTTATGACCTATGAGACTAATATGAAAGTCAAGTTGTAGGGTGAAAATTTGATTCTTCCGAAGAAAGGAGTTTCGTTTGTATTTATAAGAAAGCTTATTACAAACTAACAAATCAAATGTTTACAACAGAAGCAGAGGGAAGGCCCTCTTTGTTTTTGTGTGGGGACTTTAGGTGGCGATAGGACGCTTCGCTCGGTGCTCGTGCCGAGTCTGCTTCCCTTGGACGATCCGATCGAAGTTGCTGCTGGAGCTTCAGTACGCAGTAGAAGGTCCGATGTAAGTGGGTTCGAGTCTACCCGAGAGCCTCAAGTCGGAGAGTTCCGACGAGTCTCTTCAAATGAGGGGAGCCTTTGGCAAAAGTCCAGGTTCAACCTTTGGGAGATTAGCCAGCAGAATATGCAACAGCCAATCCCCCCTTCTTCATGCTGCTGAAGATGGGTTTTAACAGGCAAGGGATGGCATGGGCTCTCCCTTGATTCATGGGATTTGACCACTAATAGAGGTGAGGGAGATAGCTTGACTGCTCCTTGAATTATGGGATGTGACCACACGTTGTTCGGAGACGTCCTGCTGTTCATTCGTACCGTCAATGGTCATTCGAAGAGCTGTGCTCTGCATCACGCTACATAGGAGTGGGAAAGCCCCTCCTCGTATGCGTGACAACGGCTGTCAGATGCTTGCGTGGATCTGACCAACCACCGAGCGTTGGCGGCTCTCGTCCCTTCACCTGGACAACTGAGGTGAGCCGCATTTATGAGGGTGCAGGCTGTTTCGGCGCCTGTCCGCTCATTCGTACTGTGGACGGCCATCTGACGGGCCTGGAGTATTGTGCCCTCTCCCTTGATTTGTGGGATTTGACCACTGATGTAACTGTTCCCATACTCCAAGTGGGCAGTTGACAGTGAGCTGGCGAGTCTGCAGCTTGGGTCTGCAGGCGAGCTTGCAGGCGAACTGGGTCTGCAGGTGAGTTTGGGACTGCAGGCGGACTTGGGTCTGCAGGCGAGCTAGCAGGCGAACTGGGTTTGCAGGCGAGCTCAGGTGCGCAGGCAGACTTGGGTCTGCAGGCGGATTTGGGACTGCAGGCGAATTTGAGTTGCAGGCGAGCTCCTGAGCATGGATTGAAGAATAGGCCGTAACTTTCAAACCGTAAGTCGGAATTGGACGAATTATATATGAAAATCGCCTATCTCGACGAGATGGAGCCATCCGAACCTAGCCGAAGGCTTCGGTTCGCTTCCTCCGTTTTGCCAAATTCCTTACGGTTTGGGAGATATCTGCGTTTTCCCCTTTTTCTGCTATTTCCGGCGAGGTTTTAGCAGTTTTGTTCTGAACTTCTCTGATAAGGATTAAAGGCAATTTTTATTGCCTACAAAACCCCCTCCAAAGTTTTCAGACCTGAATCAGGCCGCATGGGGTCTGGAACACTTTGGATATGAAGTCCCGTAAAGTGATCCCTACTCCTCACTCGCAGCTGATGATCGCCTTCTAGGATTTTGAGCAAACCCTCAGCTATCAACGGACTTGATTTGTCTTTACCAACTGCCGTTTGAGTTGGACTAGCCATGCTCTTGCCCTTAGCATGGTAAGTTGTCGAGGAGTCTCTCTTAGGCTCAATGCTAAAATTTCTCCTCTATCCTTAGCCTTTCGAGGCGTTTGGATTTAAGGGAGCAGTTTAACCTCGTATACCAGTCGGAGGGTAGGAGCAGTTTAGACTCATGCACCAGTTGGAGTATAAGGGGGCAGTTTAGACTCATGCACCAGTCGGAGTATAAGGGAACAGTTTAGCCTCATGCACCAGTCGGAGTATAAGGGAACAGTTTAGCCTCATGCACCGGTTGGAGGATCAGAAGAAGCAGTTTATACTCGTGTACTTGTCAGTTTAGCCTCATGCACCGGTTGGAGGATCAGAAGAAGCAGTTTATACTCGTGTACTTGTCGGAGTGTAAGGGAACAGTTTAGCCTCATGCACCGGTTGGAGGATAGGGGAACAGTTTAGCCTCATGCACCAGTCGGAGGATAAGGGGGAAACTTGTCTTCTCTTAGGGCAAAGATGAAGACGAACCCTGATTTGTCTTCTCTTGGGGCAAAGACGAACCCTGAAATAGCAGCACATCGCATAGTAGGCCTATCAAATAACAACGCCTTTTATGAGAAAGACGGTGCTGGGAGAATCAAATCGTTCAGGGACGTATGAGTATGACGACTGATCGGACAACATCATTTGCGGGAATGACGGTGTCGGCTATCAGAGGTAATCGTTAACGTGATAGGAATTGCCGCGATCGGAGCGACTTTGAGGACCTACCATCCTTTTGAAGAGGATTGGTAAGTTGATTTTGTCAGAGGTGACCGTTAACATGACAGTGGGAGTTTATTGCGATTTGAGCAACTCTATGGACCTACCATCCTATTGAAGAGGACTGGTAAGTTGATTTGTCAGAGGTGACCGTTAACATGACAGTGGGGGTCCCGCCATCCTATTGAAGAGGATTGGCGGGGGATTGTGGCTTTGGTCCTAACTATCTGAAGGTTTGACCAAGTGGGAGTTTGATGCAGCCCACCTGAACTGCTAGTCTCGCCTGTTTTGAGCGGTTCGCCATAACCGGGAACCTGGCTCAAGAAGTGGGGCTCGCCTAAACTGTTAAACTTGCCTGATTTGAGCGGTTCGCCGAAACTGGGAACCTGGCTCAAAGAGATGGAGCTCGCCTAAACTGTTAGGCTCGCCTGATTTGAGCGGTTCGCCCGTACTAGGAACCTGGCTCAAGAAGTGGAGCTCGCCTAAACTGTTAGGCTCGCCTGATTTGAGCGGTTCGCCCGTACTGGGAACCTGGCTCAAGAAGTGGAAGTGTGGGGAATAGTTTAACCTCTTATACCAGTTGGAGGATCAGAAGAAGCAGTTTATACTCGTGTACTTGTCGGAGTGTTAAGGGAGCAGTTTAAACTCATGCACCAGTTGGAGTGTCAGAAGAACTATCAGAGGTGATTGTTAACGTGATAGGATTGTAGGCCCGTCGTCCTATTGAAGAGGATCGACGGGAGATTGTCAGAGGTGTAGTGTTAACTTGACAAGATTGTCACGATTAGAGTGACTATGTGGGCCCGCCGTCCTATTGAAGAGGATCAGCGGGGGAAATTTGGAGGATATGAGGGATCGGTCTCCACTACCAAGGCATCTTGGTCATCATCCCCTCGAAATTCATGCGGGTCTTCGTCACCCATATGCTTGAGCATGCTCTCGACTTGTTCTCCTTGGCGGAGTAAGTCTTTCCATGAGCGAGCTTCAACAGCGCCCATATTGGACAGAACGCTGATGGAAAGATTGTTCCGGCACATCTCGATGAGCGTGGCCTCGGAAACTCGATCGCGGGAATGCAACGATCGGTTTCTGAATCTCTTGACAAAGCTGCTTACAGACTCTGTCTTCCTCTGCTTCACAGTTAGCAGGGTGGCCATAGATACTTCTGTGTCATCATCGAAGAATCTGGCCACGAAGAGCCTTTCCATGTCCTTCCAGCAGGTGATGGACCCAGGCTCCAATCTGCGAAACCATTCAAAAGCGACCCCCTTGAGGGTACCAATGAACAGTCGAGTCATAATGGGATCGTTTCCCACTATGTGTCCAGTTTGCGCCTGGAAGTAGTAGATGTGCTGGGTAGGAGAACCCTTTCCATTGAACTGCAGGAGGTCCAGCGGCTCGAACTTTGCCGGGTAGGAGACCGCATCCCATTCAATTGGATACGGTCTGACAACCCCCAGCTTGTTCGCATGCTTCTGGAGCTTCAAGGCGTCGAGTTGACTTTGGAGATCGTCAAACCTCTTGTCTCTTGGGTTATGGCCCGAAGATGACGCTCCTCTAGATGACTCGGATGAGGAGTGAGAAGGAGTAGGCACCCGCTCTTTGTGCTTCAAGGATTTATGCGAAGCCCGCGAAGTCCTCTCTCTCTTCCTCTTCTTCTCGCTCAGGAGCTGCTCCAACATCTCCTTCAGGGAGTCGATGGTTGCTTGTTGCTCGTCGAGCCTCCTAGACATCTCCTCAGGGATGTCAGTCATGTGCACATTTGTGTGCTTGCCCTGAACTGAGCTTGAAGTCTCCGACATTGCCACTGCTGAGCAATCGTCGTCGTCGTCAGAGACGGACGTCAGACCCGTGCAGGCAAACGAGGTGGCCACCCCCATTTGGGCGTGAGCGTGTTGGCGAGGTTCATGCTGGCGAGGTTCGCCCGTCAGGCGAGATTGGCACAGTGTGCCTGCGCCTGTCTGGCGAGCTGTTGCTTCGCCTTTCTGGCGATCTTGGGCCGTCAGGCGAGCTTGGTGAAGTTCGCTTGTTTGACGAAGCCCTCTTAAACTGCAGAGTTCGCCAGGTGCCCTTGGTTCGCCAAAATTGAGCACCTTGCTCACAGAGTGGGGCTCGCTTAAACTGCTAGGCTCGCCCGATTTGAGCGGTTCGCCAAAAATAGAAACCTGGCTCAAGTGGTTGGGCTCGCCTAAACTGCTAGGCTTGCCCGATTTGAGCGGTTTGCCAAAATCGGGAACCTGGCTCAAAGAGATGGGCTCGCCTAAACTGCTAAGCTCGCCTGATTTGAGCGGTTCGCCAAAAATGGGAACCTGGCTCAAGAGGTTGATTCGCCTCAAGCCTGAATAATAATTCAGGCTGTCGTGGGGGATGAGGGATTGTGCCTCGAGACGAGCGAGAGCTTTTCGTCGCCGCTGTTTGGATCTTTTTGAACGAGGAGCGTTCATGTCGACGACGGAGGCGTATTCTGCGTCGACACAAATGGTTGATTCCTCTTGCACAGGGGTCTGCGAGGATCGTTCATCGACCCATTCAGCAGCCCCTAGACCTGCATTCTCGAATCTCGGCTCGGCCTCAACTGGTTCGGGGGGAAAAGAACCCCCTGCCTCGGCTTGGGTAGATCCCTCAGGCTTGGTTGCCTCAGCCTCTTGGGGCTGGGCCACCCGCACGTCTGCAGGCGAGCTTAGGACTGCAGCCAGACTTGGGTCTACAGGCGAGCTTGCAGGCGAGCTGAGTCTGCAGGCGAGTTTGGGACTGCAGGCAGACTTGGGGTCTGCAGGCGGGTTTGGGGCTGCAGGCGAATTTCGAGCTGCAGGGCGGACTTGGGTCTGCAGGCGAGCTAGCAGGCGAACTGGGTTTGCAGGCGAGCTCAGGTGCGCAGGCAGACTTGGGTCTGCAGGCGGATTTGGGACTGCAGGCGAATTTGAGTTGCAGGCGAGCTCCTGAGCATGGATTGAAGAATAGGCCGTAACTTTCAAACCGTAAGTCGGAATTGGACGAATTACATATGAAAATCGCCTATCTCGACGAGATGGAGCCATCCGAACCTAGCCGAAGGCTTCGGTTCGCTTCCTCCGTTTTGCCAAATTCCTTACGGTTTGGCAGATATCTGCGTTTTCCCCTTTTTCTGCTATTTCCGGCGAGGTTTTAGCAGTTTTGTTCTGAACTTCTCTGATAAGGATTAAAGGCAATTTTTATTGCCTACACAAGTGAATATGTTTTCTTTTGTAATTATGTAGTTTGAAATGTGTTAACTTAAGTTGTGATACATCTTTAGGTACATACTCTTCAGATCTCTTGCATTTAGGAAATCCCCCAAAAATAGTTATATTTAGAGGTCAGCCCTTAGTTGGTTAGTGTTTGTCAGGCTAGATCATTGCTTGAATTAACTCCTCAATGAGTTTTTCAGTTCTGGTTCATGCAACATTGCAACAACAACAGCAACAATAACAGAACTTTTCAAGTTTTTTCCTTGAAACCACCTTAAAAATAGGGTACGGAAACCACCTTTCAATTTCAATTTACACATTAACCACCTTTAAATTTTTGTTAAAATCAATCACCTCCAAGTCAAAATTTTCACTAAAAACCCAAAATTACCCTTAAAATAAACTCATATTCAAGATCAATCACCTCCAAGTCAAAATTTTCACTAAAAACCCAAAATTACCCTTAAAATAAACTCATATTCAAGACATGCGACTATTTTTATAGTGTTTAGGTCTAGTAAGATACAACTCATGTACCCTTGAACTTGTAATTTTTAAGCTTATTTTTAGTTTTTTAGTGAAAATTTGACTAGGAGGTGGTTGATTGCAACAAAAACCTAAAGGTGGTCTATATATAAATTGAAATTGAAAGGTGGTTGCCATATAATTACCCTATTTTTAAGGTGGTTTGTAAGAATCATTTTGAGGTTGACTATTGATTAAGGCTATGTTCTCCATGAAGTTACCCACTATCACATCCTTCGTAGTTGCTTTCAACCAGCTTTTTTGCCGCCCTATGTTCTCCATGAAGTTACCCACTATCACATCCTTCGTAGTTGCTTTCAACCAGCTTTTTTGCCGCCTATATCTAATCCTCCTTGCTCTATTAATTATTATCTCATTTCTGCTTTTAATTGGGTACATTGTGGCCTCCTTTTCATGTGGGCAAATCATCTTACTCTATTTTCTCTCATTTTTAGCTCAATAGCAGCAATCCCTAACCTCCTATAAATGCATTCATTTCTTATCATATTTCTGAGTGCATATCATGTAGTGGATCATAACATTTAAAATTTTGCTAAACCCTTTGTTGTTGCATATGTTGTTTCTTAATTGCCCAACATTATGATCCATAGAATATTGTTGGTCTTATTAGTCCTATAAAATTTGTACCTCAACGTTAATAGCTATTACAGTCGCATAATGTAAGACTTCGGAAGGACTCCTCAACTTTAAGCATCCTTATTTAATTAGATGAACCACGTTTACTTCAATTCAACCATCTTATCAAGTGATTGATTCTAGATGGCGAAAGTGATTACTCCTAGTTATTTCATTGACTGCTATTATGTACTGCATGTTCATTATTTTTCAGTTTTTCTCTTTTTTGCTGTTAATTCTAAATGTTGTAGATTCAAGGACTTCTCTCCACCCTTCAGCTTTAGAAATTATTTCTTCCCTAATCTTATCAAAGAATATTATGTCATCAGCACTTCTGGGTTCATACAATTATTTATTTCTATTGATGCTTTGCTCTATTTTTTTTAGACATTCTCTGACTAGGTCTTTCATTCTAAAACCTGTGTTACTTTTTAATCTTCAAAGCTTATTCAAAATCTTGCATTTTGAATGTCCAGGTTTCATGCAGAATATGGTACTTTTTAATCTTCAAAGCTTATTCAAAATCTTGCATTTTGAATGTCCAGGTTTCATGCAGAATATGGATCAGACTGGAAGAAGCTGTCAGGAATTCTCTCTTGCATTTTGAATGTCCAGGTTTCATGCAGAATATGGATCAGACTGGAAGAAGCTGTCAGGAATTCTCGGGAAGCAAAGGATCCATATAAAAGATGCTTGGCGAAGGATAAGACTGCCAAATAGAAAAAAAGGTGGGTACTGCTTATGAATCTATGGATCTCTAGCTCTGGTTTCTCAGACATGTTGATCATTGTAATAGACCGTGTCTTTGTAGTATCTCTGTGTGTTTGAGTGCACTGATACTATTGTTGCTAAATTTCACTTACACATTTTTCTCTGTTCTTCTTTTCTGTTACTTTCCTCATATTTTGGATATATCCTTACTCTGAAGATGTCAAAACGTTTCTAGGAAGTTTTTTTAATGTTTGTATTAGATATTCATGTGTATTTGCCATTTACTACTTTTATATGTAGGCTTACTTTTAGTAAATTTGGTTGAATGATGGATGATATTGGATTTGAAATTTTGCCTGACAGCAGTATAACTATTAAATGACCGATTAACTATTTAACTCATATAAATGCTCTAGATGCATTTGTGGACTGCTGCTTTGAGTTTTCAGTTACCACTTACCTGTTTTGGCTCATGCTTGTACAACAATCTCAGTTGTGAACCTGAGGACAAATCTGCAGGACTAGGAAATTGTATCTCATTATTTTGTTATGACCTAATATCACATGACGCATCGTGCACTACTGAACAACTACAATGAGAATCAGATTGTTGAGATGGCTTTCGTTTTTCCATTGCTTGAATAATTTCTTTTAGTTAATTCACACTCAGATGTGAAAATAAGACTAATTCTTATCTAGTTTATCACTATCTTTTCTATATTGACATTGTTGATCATAAAGTTCATCCCTTATGGATGGTTAGTCTCTATGATTGATGTCTACTTTTTGGAGTATATCAAAATTAAAGTAAGATTTAGGAAGTAAATAAATCCAAATGGCATCTGATGTTTCATTATGGTTGTAGTCTACAAAGTCAGCACAATAAAGGAGTTCAACCAAGCATCTCCATCTCTAATTATCTTCCAATAGTTCTTTTATATAGCTCGTCTTATTTTTGCTCCATCTTCTCTTGTATTTATCATATAACTCTAATTGTTTACTTACGTGTCCTTTCAATAGTAGAAAAGATACCCTGCTCCTTGCTCAAATTTTCCCTTTCCTATGTATTAGAGTCTGCTGAGTAGGATTCTTTTTCGTTGCTTGTCTTTGGGACAGGGCGGTGGTCTCAGGATGAGTACCAGTCTTTATTTGATTTGGTGAACTTGAATTTGCGGATGAAAGCCTTTGAAGAAAAGAAATCTACTAATAACATGGTTAGTAGTTTTTATCATTTAGTGCCACTGCTTTTGTGGGTTTTTGGTTGTTGTGGTGGATAGCCGCTGCTTTTCTGTGGGCTACATTGTTTGTGTAGGATAGTCGTGCACACTGTTGTCTTCAGCATTAAAAACTTTTCCTTATAAAAGAAGGGGACATCTGGCAATTCCAGAAAGTAGTCATGTCCACTAATGATTTTTGTGGACGTGGTCATGAAGTGTTATTTTTCATTTTGATACCTCCCTTATCACATATCATCTCTCTGTCTTGCGCTGCAGATTAGAGAAGGTATATCTTGGGAAGCAATCAGTGACAATATTTCTACAAGAACAATGTCAGGTTGCTGCCATAAATGGTATGCACTTTATGTGTTAAATTTGGTATTGACAGTTTAATATACCTTCAACCAGGAATTTTCATAATTTTGTTTTCTTGACTGCAAATGTAAGTATATGTATTTCAAACTTTTGTCTCTTTCCCAGTTTTACCTCTGAAGGATTCATTTTGTTGATGATTGCTGGCTAAAAGGGTAAGGATGCAGTTCTTCAATTTTTCACTTATAGAAGTGCAAAGGGGAAAAAAAAGAAAAGATAAGGAACTACCTTTAAAGAACTATGATGGTTCAAAGCCTATATTTCCGATAGCGAAACTTGTATGCTATAATATTCACATGCTCGTATGATGCTAAGATCAAAATACTAAAAAAAAAAGAAAAAAAAAGAAAAAAAAGAAAAAAAGGAAGGGTAAACCTATCTAATAACTGAATCACCTACCGGTTATTAAATGGAGGTCAATCTACAATATATCTATATGTGAATTTGAAAGCTTGAAAGTGTCAAATCTGAGATTAAACCTAAACGTCTAACGTGAGTGAAAATCAGATTCTAAACCTACTTGGCAAACAATGCCCTGGATATTGTACTTCCTTTAGTGTTTATGAAATTTGTAGGACCTTCTAGTCAGGGGCGGTGAGTATTGTTGATTAGGGGTGCAACTGGACCCCTACCAATCTAGAAATTACATTTTAAAGCCTTCTATTATTACAATTGTCCCCCATAATTTTAAAAAATTTGTACCTATCTTAAATTTCAAGTGATTTGTATTTAGCCTTGAAAATTAGTTGCCCATTTTCATTTAGTCTATTTGAAATTGGTAGCCCATTTTCATGTAGGTAAATAGATACTTATTATTCACCCCTCTAGGAAAAGTTTTCCGGATTTGCCACTGCATCTAGTGACATATGAATTGTTATTTGCTTAGTTATATTATCTTATATCTTTCTTATTTTGATATTAGTTCTTTAAAATTGTTATTTCCTTAGCTACTAAGTTCTTTGAATTATCTTAAATAATGAACATTTATTTTGATTGTTAACACCTGGGATATTACTCTGACCTTGACAGGACCTGTGCTGGGGCCATTTGATCCTATCTTCTTTACAGCCCCTTAGATGGTCATTTTCTACTTCCATAGCCATATTAAGTCATGGGGATGAAACCCATGTCCAGATCTTTAATTCCCTTTGTCCTTTTGTACTTAGCCCAACCCTTGCATTGAGTCGTTTGTAGTAGGGTTATTTGGTCTTTGACCATCTTGACTAAACCTGTAGTTCAATCCCATAGTTCTGTTAACTTCAAAACGATTAACATGTTTTCTTTGAAAGAAGTTAAAAGGATTTAAGGAAGCATTAAGAAACTTAAATTTGGGGGTCAAAATGAGAAAGATCTAGTTGGGTAATTTTGAACTCCCTTTTGTTTTCGTACAAGAGTGTTTTTTAGTCTGACCTTCTGAATTTAGGTTCACCAGTCAAGCTAAATGATATTTTTAAACCTTTCAGTTCACAAATCTATGAAATGGGTTGGAAAACCTTTCCTTTTTTCATATAACAGTGTCCTTTCAATTTTACCTTTTCAAATTCGGGTTTCCCCAAGTTAAAGATATAAAGCTATTTGGATTTTTAACAAAGAGATGAAGTTTTTGGGGGTATTTGACAACTAGGTTATAAATCGAAAGTAGAAAGTGAAGAAAATATACTTTCTCAAGAAAGTACTTTTCTGTTTCTACATACAAATCGTGTTTGATCATAGGAAGTGAAAATATGAAAATTTGGGGTAGTAGCTGATGTGACGGTCACTTCTAGTCCTATTGGCTTGTCATAAAAAGTAGTCAATATAAAGTGAATATCAAAATTGAAATTACTCGGAGAGAAAATAAAAATTCCTTTTTTTTTTCTCTTTGCTCACTTTCCATTCACTTTTTCAAAATTTTTGAGATAGTGAAAGGGGCTGAAAAGTTGATGTGACATCCTTCACTTTCCATTTACTGTTGAGGCACTTTCCAATTACCAAATAGGAAAACATAGAAAATGGAGTAACTTTCTATTTTTTGTTTCACTTTCCATTTACTTTTCAGCTGTCAAACACACCCTTAAGTAAACTAATAATCCTAACCGTTCCATCAAGTTTGAAGTCCATGTGATGACTATATTAACTACTCTCAAATGAGTTCTCAATTCCTATAACTAGGGCTAATAGCATGGTGTTCATATTTGTATTTGTTAAAATTACCAAATTCTAATATTATTCTCTGAATTTCTTAGAACTCGAATACAACTAATTTTCGAATACTTGTGAATATTATTCGTTGAATTTATAGTTTATGAGTATGAAACAATGTAATTAAAAGATATTGCAATTTGGGTTGGGTTTAATATGTCCATCTCTAGGTTTAATATGTCCCTATCTGTTTATGATATAGAACATGAATAGAACAATGATTAGATATTTCAAGTTTACAAAATTTTGGCATGTCTTGTGGGACCTTACATCTTTGTGCTGATATACATAACCAAAAGAAACTCAACAAAAAATTTCATGTTCTAATAGTTGATGATATTCCGGCCTTCCAATACATGAAGGAGTTACTGGTGATTAACAGGTGCGGCTCCACATCACGCATAGCTGTCAATGCTCGTTCACCTTGGGGTTGGGATTATTCACTCACAAATATAAGCTCCACGAAGATTGCCTGCAACTCTTTTATCTATGGGTAAAAAACTATCTATCAACAAAATATCAAAGTTGTCATCAAAAAATGGTTTGAACTTATAGAAAAGAAACCCGTGATTTAAAGTTTTAAAGAACTTGCGAAGAGAGCATCATCTCATGGGTTTGCAATTGAAGAATGAAATGATCCTAAATCTTCAAAGGAAGTAGTCCATTTGACGGGTGAAAAGAGGATCTTCGATTGATGTTTTCGAGGAGGCAACCGACACAAAGGAAGTAGTCCATTTGACGGGTGAAAAGAGGATCTTCGATTGATGTTTTCGAGGAGGCAACCGACATTGTCTTCAGGAAGATGTCTTCATGTATTAAGAGGATCTTCGATTGATGTTTTCGAGGAGGCAACCGACATTGTCTTCAGGAAGATGTCTTCATGTATTACATCAACAAATTGATGCACGTAGAAAAAGGACAAAATCATAAGTCCGGAGCAAATAAAAACTTTAGGAAATAAAAATCAATCTTGCAATGTTCAACTATTCATATGGATCATTCTGTCGTAAGTCAAATCCAAGTTTGAACAGTGTGGCGAGATGGTCGGAGCTTTTACGAAGAGTGTCTACAACACCTGAGCCCTAATCGGAGCTTGTCATTTACAGATCAAGAAAGACTCATTAAGATATTGCTCTTGCCCACGATTTGAACACAAGTAAAAAAATAAAAATAAAAAATAAAGACGCCACTCCATGAAGGATCTAAGACTAGATCTTCAACACATTATTTTGGTGTACACTCCCTGGAGGATCTAAGACTGGATCGACTACATATTTGTTGGGGATATGAGTCTAAATTGCATCCACACCTTACTCATCGGGTGCATGAGTATAAACTGCAATCTATAAGAGTTGCTCTTTGTTAAAAAAAGGGTTGGAGGACATGATTTTACAAAATTCATGAGTAAAAAGATTCAAGCTCCAACAATTGGTTAATTGTTGATGTCTCTGGGAAACATGAAGGGGTCAATAGCGATCAATAAGAGCAACACTGTTCACGGGTTCCTTGAAGATTGAGGTAGCAACAACTCTTATTGTTGAGGGCAAAGACAACCTCTCAATAAATCACGAAGTTATCATCAAGGGAGAATTTCTTAATCTATTAGGAGAGCTAAGGGTTATGAAGGTCGTTAGCGAAATTCAAATGTGTGAAGAAGAAATTTGTATGAGAGACTTGGAGAATATGCTGTCAAGATATCATCTTGAAGAGTTTACACTAAAAGAAGTGGTCGTCTTCATTTGAAACTCTTTAGCAAGTCTCTTTCAACACTATGAAGATTTCGTTGTTAATATCACCAAATATGATATTCTCGTTGAGCAACAGTTGAAGGCACTAATATAGTTATTCATCAAAATTTTCCACACCCAATAAAAAGATCGCGATTGATATCATCAAAAAGATATTTTGGCATAGCCACAACTTAGGTCACAACACTAAAATATTTTGACCGTTGCCATAAGAAGAGTTAAGCGTGGATGTCAACACGAGCAAATAGAGACCTAACAAAAAAAGGGTTAATGACAATAGACGATAGACTCTTGAGTTTATTGGAAGCCATGAATCCACAATTAATGAAAACCCTATCTCAAAGGGTAATTTTTACATTTAAAATATCTAATCGTTTTTCTATGCATGTTTCGCATCATAGATGAAGATGGACATTTTGAACCCTACAATTTGTAGTTTGAACTAACATGAAGCTCGGTATGTTGTCAAAATCAATGTTTGAAAAAGTTTTTTGAAACTCGCTTTAAAACTCGCTTCGTAACTTTTTGAAGGGTAAACGCTTCAAAACTCAAGAGAGAAGCTTTTTATCCCTTGAAGCTTACGCCTCATCACTTAAAGCATAACTGAAGTGTGCGTTTCACGTTCTCTTTTGAAGCGCTTCTCTTTTGAAGCATACACTTTAGACATGAGGATATAAAAGAATTTTTAACTAACATTAGAATGACCCTATGTATCTTCAATATGATTATGTGAGTGTAAATAAGATAAATAAGTTATATATGCCGATTAGTTTATTATGATTTGCATCTATACTTCATATATTTAATTCTTACATACTAATGAGGACATGAATGTACCTATTTATAAATTATCATACCGTTATATGTTATATGTTCATATTTTTTGTGAACTCTAAAATTACAATACTTAAAACTTATGAGGCTTGCGCCTCACGTTTTGAGGCTTACGCTTCGCTTCACCTTGCGCTTTCGCTTTTTTAAACATTGCTCAAAATTAGCATATAACTTAAATTAAATTACCAAAGGTAAGGGGGCTAAAAAGATACCATCATCCAAGTAATAATACAAATTATAAGGGATGAAACTTTAAACAAATATTTGATAATCAAACGAATATAAAATGCATATGGTTAAATTCTATTCATTTATGTACCGAATACTAAAACTATTTGTTTATCATTAATTGAATCACTGGAATATAACCAAATAGTTAGTCGAATTATTTCTGAATTATTTGGTTCGTTTGCATCCCTACTGCAACCCCTTGCCTTTCTCCTCCCTCACTTATGTGATATCTTTTCTTGTCCATTATCTCATGTTGATGTTGATATGTTTATTTATGATGGTTGTTGTAATCAACTATAAAATTTAGTTTCAATTTTCCTAGTTTTGATTTTTTGGTAACTTGGACTTGACTTTCATATCATTCTTATTTTGGGTCTTAAGTTTTTGTTGTACTTTACAGGTATGACCAGCTAACATCACCCTTGGTCCAACAAGGTTTATGGGCTGATACAGATGATTATCTTCTACTGGATGCGTAAGTATTGCAGTTTAAACACCAACCTATTTAGTTGATATTTCCCTTGAAATTTTGCGGATTTTCAAAGAGAAGCTTTACCCCCTTAATTTCATCCTATACATGTGACAATGTGACATCTCAACTCATGACACCCAACATAGACACTGAATATAAAAAGTTCTTCAAAAAGGACATGACAACAAGGTGATATGAGATTAGACACACTGATACGAGTTGCCGGATGAGCACCCTTGATCGCGGAATTATCAAGAGTGGGCTGAGAAGAAGATGATAGAAAACACAAGAACAATTCAGTTTTGACGAAGGAAAATACATTTTCTAGATTATGAGAATAATAGATTACAAATTCCTCTATCATAATCTTTCTAGAATCAAGAATAATCTCCCAATTCTCTCTAAACCCTAATCTCTTGGTTAGGATCTCACCTCTCTGATTTCTCTGATTGTTTAAACCCTAATCTCTTGGTTAGGATCTCACCTCTCTGATTTCTCTGATTGTTTAGAACCCTAAAACAATCCTCTTTATAGAGTTACCTCTCTGATTTCTCTGATTGTTTAGAACCCTAAAACAATCCTCTTTATAGAGTTTACAACATGGATGATAAACTTGTAATTAAACAAACCAAAATCAAACAGGAAAACAGAGTCCCAAACGAACCAGGAAGGCTCAGGAAACCTTCGCGGTCGATCGCAGAGACCATCGCAATCGATCGGATCCAACGACAGAAACAAAAATCCATTACAAGGTTTGGTCGGTTGACCGCACACGTCACTACGGTCGACCGCTAAAAGACTAGAGGCCTCCCAGGATTTGTGCACGTTCGCGGTTAATCGCGACGTCACGTGTGATCGATCGCTGGAAGCTCAAAACATTTCCTGTAGTTTCTTCCGTAATCTTCGTCTTTGTCACCTTCAACGACTTCGTCCATATCTCTATTCTCAAGGTATCATGAGAATCATCTATCTTCAAGCTCCCATGAGGATCACTAAGCTCCCGAAGTAAGGAAGAAGATACACCCGTATCATGGCCTCCCCCTTTAGAAACTTAAAGTCCCGTTCAAGTTAGAGCTGTAGCTGAGGGAACTCGCGAGCCCCTCCTTTTCTGAACCACTTGGTCTTGCTAGGAATTTGGTCTTGACGTCCGATCGGAAACAACTCCTTCGTCCGCGTCTCCTCGTAGTCACCTTCCGCTAAATTGCAACCCTCTTTCAGTGGCTCCTCATAAGAACTAATGCATAGCGCAACAAACTTCTTACTTGCATTCACTAACCTCTTCGCTCGGTTAATCGTCACCAAGTTTGTCTCCTTCGGAAGAAATGCCGAACGAAATATGAATTTTTCACCATCTTTGTTGAATGTGTACTTTTGAGCCTGTCTCTCGTATATCGCGTATCTATCCCATAAATAGGAATTGTCCAGTATAATCTAACAAACATCCAATGAAACTACATCGCACGTGACCTCGTCAATATACGACTCATGAAGCGTAAATCTGAAAGTGTATTGATCAAATATACTCAGTCCCGTCTCCTTCTGAATCCACCCCAATGGATAGGGTTTTGGATGCTTGACTGTCTTCAGACCCAGTTTCTGAACCAAGACCTCAGATATCAAATTCTTCTCGCTGTCCGGATCAACTATGGCATCAACCAAACTGGTTTTTACTTGCAACTTAAGAACAAAAAGCTACTCTCTAGGGTTGTCATCCTTTTTCGTGATCTGTTTCCCTATCATAAGATTGAGATTATTGTTGGCTTCTGTCATCCTCGGGACTTTTTTCGAAACTTGAGCTATCACGTATGTCTTTTTCTCCTTCTTCAACCCTCTTGGTTTGAGTTGAGGATACTTTTCCCAGCACTGATCAGCTACGTGTCCTGTCTTCTCGCAATGACTACAAATCAGTCCTGTTTTCGTTGGATCACCCTTCTTCTCATCCTCCTTAGATTGAGAACCACTAGACTCGCCTCTAGTTTGTTTAGTCTCTCCTTTGGATTCGTTGCTTCTCTTCTGCTTGCCTTCGATGACAATAGCCTTCACGCTTGCCTCTGTAATAGATTCCACCGTGAATAGCTTCATCTTCTTCCGGATGTACTCGCTCAAACCCGTCATATACTTTGTAAACACAGAATATTCCTCCGTCGTAATATTGAGGACCATCGCCTAATGCTGGAACTCCGTGGTGCATTCTTAAACGATTTGATTGACTCTTTGTTGCAAGCCGTACTATTTGTACCAACGCTCCTTAAGGAACTCCACCGGGTAGAACTGCTTTCTCAGTAGCTCATTGAATTTGTTCCATGATACCACATTCTTTTCCTGCTTGCAATAATATTTTCACCATGTCAATGCATACCCCGAAAGCTTAAAGTCGCGAACACGAGTTTTTCCTTGGATGAATATCCGTAGAGAATAAAATATGTCTCCATCCGTTCGATCCAATCATCAAGCCTCTCGACATTGACACACCCATCATAAACATAAATCTTCACGTTAAAATCTATTTTTAAATTCTGGTAAGAACCGTTACCTCCTTGATGCAGAACAGTCTTGATAATCTCGGCTTCCTCATCAGAATCAGATTCCTCACCCTTCCCATCAGACTCTATAAGTTTCTTCTTACCTTTCGAAGAAGATTCCTTCTTTTTGTTCTTTCCTTAGAAAAGATTGACGAGCTGTGTGAGAGTCGAACCCATTGTCTCCATCTGTTTCTCCAATGCATCAAGTCTCGCTGAACTATTTCCTTCAGTCATCTTCTTCTTCCTTAATCTCTGAACTCCTTCCAAAGAAATAAGGATCTCACCTAGTTTCTTGTATTACGATCGAGTAAGGACCATACACATGATCCTCCTTCACAGGATCTAATCGTTCTAATACCAACTTGATACGAGTTGCCGGACGAACACCCTTGATCGCTAAATTATCAAGAGTGGGTTGAGAAGAAGACGGTAGAAAACACAAGAACAATTCAGTTTTAGCGAAGGAAAATATCTTCTCTAGATTATGAGAATAATAGATTACAAATCCCTTTCTCATAATCTCTCTAGAATCAAGAATAGTCTCCCAATTATCTCTAAACCCTAATCTTTTGGTTAGGATATCACCTCTCTGATTTCTCTGACTGGTTAAAACCCTAAAACAATCCTCTTTATAGAGTTTACAACGTGGATGACAAACTTGTAATTAAACAAATCAAAATCAAACAGGAAAACAGAATCCCAAACGAACTAGAAAGGCTCAGGAAACCGTCGCGATCGATCGCAGAGACCATCGCGGTCGACCGGATCCAACGACAGAAACCAAAACCCATTACAGGGTTTGGTCGGCCGACTGCACATGTCGCTACGGTCGACCACCAAAAGTCTAGAGGTCTCTTAAGATTTGTGCACGTTCACGATCGACCGCGACGTCACGTGCGGTCGACCGCTGGAAGCTCAAAACGTTTCCTGTAGTTTCTTTCGTAATCTTCGCTTTTGCCACATTCAATCAAGGTTTTAAATGTCGATGTCGGGTTCATGTCGGACGGCTGAGATCCATATCGTATAGCGAAAATCGGGGATATATTAGGGGACATGGACTAAATATCGGATTGTCATATCGGGTGGAGCACATATGTATAATATCATGTCCGAAATGTAATCTAAGCATTCCTAAATTCAATATAAGAATACTTTATAAATTCTAGAGGTGACGCCGGCGATGGGTGGATTCCGACATCGCAGGGAGGCAGTGCTGGGGCTCTTCTTCTTCTTTGTCTGCTCGGGGTCCTTCGGATGAGTCACCGACCGTCCTATTCCCTTTATCCCGACGACGGGATACCCTGCCGTCCTCAGGTTCGGTTGGGGTTTAGATTTCGGGGCGTAACAGGAGATGGACGACGGAGAGCCGAGATAGAGGTGGAGGAATGTCGTCGTCATTCACGAAAGGAGTGATGAGTTCCCAAGTCCGTTGCAGTCCTAAATTTTCTCTTTTCTTTCTATCGGGTTCATAAGAAACTCTTAAACATGAGAACATGTCAAATGGGTTTGGGTTTTTATCACTAAACCCAAACCCGATAACAAAAAATAGATTTTAAAAAAAGGCCATATCAGCCTTTTTTTCAAAGATGAAAAATTGGCCGATATGCCCGATATGACCCTGATATTTTCGATTTGGCCCTAAAAACCGACATACAAGTTAAAAACGCCCATGTCGTGTCGCTCAAGCCCTCAAACCGACATGTCGGCTGACATGTCGGATATGTCGGCCGACATTTAAAACCTTACCTTCAATGACTTCGTCCACGTCTCTATTCTCAAGATATCATGAGAATCATCTATCCTCAAGCTCCCATGAGGATCGCTAAGCTCCCGAAGCAAGAAAGAAGATTCTCCTGTATCACACACCCCTCAACCACCCACCCACTCACGACACATGCTCATGGTAACTAATATAATAATAATAATGATAATAATTTGTCTACATGTAAATGTTCATGTATCCACGAGTTTAACACTTTATTTCTGCAAATATGACATATAAAATAATTTCTTGTGCGCTAATCTTTTGACCTGTATACACTTCTATGACTTCGCAAAGTCAGTATTACTTGCTCTCAAAATTGTTATACAAAGTATTATTCATATTAATCTTAATTTTATACGAGCCAATTGCTTAGCATTACCAGCTATAGTTTTTGGTGTATAAATGAAAATAAATAGGTATCTCAACATATCATTTGAATAAAGAAGTGCATGTGAAGAGTGCGATAGAGGTCCAGATTCCAGAAAGTGTATGGAGTGTGTTTTAAATTAGAACATGCATTATATAATTGATGTCACATTTGTATAACTGTATGCACATATCCAAAAATTGCCCAAGGAAGTTTTGGTGTTCAATAATGGTGGGTAGTGTCGGACACAAATGTGGCTTCATGATAAAAGTGTCAATGCTACAAAGACATACTGGAGAAGGAATGCAGTGGGAAAGCCATTAACTCCTTCTAAAGAACTGCCATACTGTGTTACCACACAAGTTCAATTCTTACATATCATAATTTTTTTCTTCTGTTTATTAGTAGCTATCATAAACTTTTTTTACTCAAACGTGCTTACATTACGTTGACTTTCTTTACTTTTAAAGACTACCATATGGTGCAACTGTAGTCTACATGCACCTGATCTTAATTATTATTAACTGCCATAAACTTTTTTTATTTGTAAATGACTACAATACATGACCAATTGACCCGTCAGAAGAAACAGCCACAATTCCATTTAAACACCCCGCCCCCCTCCTCCCGCTGCGGGAGGGGGGATGCCCTTCCGTACAGTTAAATCAATAAATTTTCAGATCCCAAGGTTATGTATTAAATACATATGATTTGAAGAGCAGATAACTTGTTAATGGTGGTACTTTTCCACAATATTAAAGAAAAGCTCATGGCATTTGCTAAGAACTTTAAGTCACCTATATAACTCATGGGACATTACAACACATAGAGCAAAGTCTCAAATGGAATTCCTGGAATGATTTGAGAGGTCCACTCCGGAAAGGATAAATCAACTATTTAGTACAGGTCTGTGGTCTTGGTGGATCATATCATGGTAAAGAACACCTACAAACAAGAATGGCTCTAGTCAAACACCTGCAAACAAGAATGGATCTAGTCAATTGATGATAGGTAAGCAATTTTGAGCAGCCACTTCGACAGGAGAGAGAGGTTAAATTCTTGGAGTTTTAAAAGATACCTAGTTGTTTAGAAGAACGAACAATATTTCATTTCACAAAGCCAGTTCTCCCTGCTAGTTCCTATTCTCCCTTCCAAGAAATGCCCAGTGATTATGGTTATAAGATCAATCACTAGTTGAAGGTGGAAATACAGGATATATTAGATGGGAATGGAAGAGGGAGGAGAATAAGTCTACTGCCTCTGGATAGTACATGATCTTCCAAATTGAAAGGAAGCAATCAATTCAAGTAGAGGTTGTCATCTAAAACAAGTTTGGGTTTAGAGTTGAGAAGTCACCACACTGAACCTATTGATAATTCACCAATTACAGAAATCAAGGTATGTGACAATTGGTCACAACACAAGTTTCTCAAGATTGTGAAGCCTAACCCCATTCTGTGCAATCGAAGTATATTTCTATGCATATTTCACTAGCATTTCTGTACGTGCATAATGCATGTACTAAAAAGATAATAAATTATAAAAAGTATTTTGTATATGAGTGTTTTTGCTGGATCTCTACTATGAAAACATCAAAAGATTATTTATTTTGAGGGTTAATCTGAGAAAGAATGAGATTTCGTGAATGTTTTTGTAATTCATTTTTAATTTACTTTGTTTTTTGTTAACCACTAATAAGGCATAAGTTATATTGAAGTTGAGTAGGTGATTTTTTAAAAGTGAAAAAAGAAACAATTGTCCTTCAATAGTTTTCAATGGTATCATTACTAATATATCTTCAGTAAATCATTGAAATTATTTTTATAGATATGCTAAACATAGAGATGTACACTTGTATTTTTATTTTGAAAGAATTTATTTCTTAAAGTATTTCATTATAGAAATTGAAGTTTTTGTTAAGATTTTGTTTGACCTATTATGTAAAATATTTAAGTAACATGTGAGAGGATGAAGTGACATTTATTTATTCTGTGAGTGGAAGGTATCTCAATAAGTCTATATATGCCCACCACTCATACATATTTTCTCCTGCCCTCACTGCTTCGATTAAAGGTTAGTATAGATAACAACAATATATATGATTGAATTTGTTTAGAGAATTTTAGTTTGTTCTGTAACTTGTTTGAAATTCTAGTTTAGTTAGAATTTGGACTTTTGGTTCTACTTAAGTTTGAGTCATTTGGCCTACAAGTATATATCATTGGATTATTTTTTTTTCTTTTTTGATTAATTGAGGTTTATTAATCATGTTGAAATTTTGCATGTTAAATGCTTGATTCATACATGGATGCAAAACACTAATCTTCTATCCCTGCTGCGGTCCATTTTGGGGTTGCAGAGGATGTTATATAATTTTATGGTAAGTTTGGTCAGTGAAGTAATTGAGATTCAGGTGATTTGAGTGTAGCTAATTGGCCTAAGTGGCCAGCACGGAAGGTTTCTGAAAGATAGAAGCACTTAATTAAGAGCCACAGGCTGGCTAGTATTATGGCTAAAGCATAGTTGGTATCCAGTGGTAATTTGTCATAACCTGAATATGAAGGGAAGGCTGGAATTATTGTTTGGAACAATTGACATACTCTTAAGTTTGGTACCAGTAACCAACGTTATGTCTAGTTCGAACCCATCGATGCTATCAAGCATTGTTTGGTTGGCCATTTTCTCATTGTTTCAAAAACAGGTTAATTTCTGTATGTCTTTGTTGTCCTCTATTTCTCTTTCTTTTAGTAATGGCTCCCACTATTTGCTATACAATTAATTTTTTTGTTCCGAAACATCTAATTTGGATTTCAAGTGGCACTGGAAAATTTCTGCTGTACATTTCTGTAATTAATAGTTTATTTTGTTGACGTTTAAGAACGAAGAAATTTGTCTCTCGTAGCCACTTGGAGCTTTTGTATGAACGAGGTTCCTTGTTAATTTTTGAATATTTTAATGTTCATGCAGTCTTCAGAAGCAAGAAGCTTGCACTGTAGAAGATGTTGACTGGGACAATCTTGTTGATGGACGGTAATGTTCTTGCTACCTTTCTCAATTTTTTGCTTACAAGTTTTCCATGAGTAAAAAGAAGAAAAGATCATCTAGTTATATTTTTAATGCTTATTGTCACTTGTGTTTCAAGTAGATGATTACAGCTGATAACTTCTGTTATTCATGTATTGTTAGGTCAAAAACTCCTTCCCACACTTGGTGTCTGGTTAACCGCCAAAAATAGAAATATGAGTTGATTATTGGGATCAGAACTTTTATAGATGTAGCATAGACAACTCTCCGTGATTTGCAGGACGACCTTTAAATATTGCTTTGTGCCTGCTAATACCATTTATGATTTCAAAATTTACTGAATTCTTGTTCATGCTAAGAAGAAGGGTGGTCACACGTCTTTTCCAAATTCTTAAACCTTGTTCAGATCCGAGAAGTTATTGAAAGGTGCTACCAGGAGATCGAACTTCCAATATAAGAAGAGGTGCAAATAATTGCTAGACCTGTACTGTTTCCTTTTGATCTGATAAGGTCTGGCAATCTAAACCACACAACAGAGAAGCATTACTATCCTGCCTTTTCTTGTCCAATTCAGATGCACATGCGAAGGCTGTGTCAAATTCACAAACACTTGGATAGTAATAGCAGCAACCTCTGCAACTATCTTGCATAACATTGGAATTAGCATGGGTCATTCATGAAAGTGATCTATAGTATTTAACCGTACTGGCATTAGAAAACGTGCAAATGCACATGCAACCGATATTATTAAAACTTAATTGTTCTAATATTTTTATAAAAAGGGTCATTTTAATACCCTAAAGTATCAATAGATATTTCTTAGATTTTTTATGATATTTGTTCATTTAATATGCGTTATTTAATCTTAGCTTATTTGAAAATGGTTATGACATATTTATATTGGAATATATTGAAATTCTAATTGTTGTTTTTGTTGTATTTATTTACACGAAAAATAACTTTATTATTTCATATTATATCTTTCTAGAATATACAAAGTAATAGAAATTTATTAGTAAGCTCTATGATATGCTTTCTAAAGTTCTAGAAATAAAGAAAGAGAAGAAAAGAAAAAAATTTGTGTGAAATGACCAAATTGTCCTCATGTCTTTAGTGAGATGAAGGACAATTTACCATGTCCTACAAACTTTTCGTCTTTAGCGAGATGAATGACAATTTTACCATGATGTTCTTCCAACTTTTCCTACCCTCACTAAGTTTTAATATAATAGTATATATTATTATATGATGTTATTATTATTGTTATGGTTCATATTCATATTCAGCTGAAGGCTATGCCTTGTCAGATTCTAAATCACTCTTAAGAAGGTGCAAATAATGCTGGAGTATACCTCCTTTTCAATTGCCTTGGGTTTGACATTAACCAGATAGCTGAATAGAATTATATTTTTTTTCTTGTACAATTGGATATACATTCAGAGACAGGCAGGTACCAATTTACAAGTCACCAAATTGTTCTAGGATAAGTTTTGCATCCAAGCCATAACATGCGGATTAGCATCCCACGATTCCTGAGTGATTGATAAATATCTTTATAAGGTACTGCCATGGTTCATGCTAATATTCATTGTTTTTATAGCTATCAATCTATCTGATAAAAACTGTTTTTCATTCCCTTTCTGTTCACTCACCTCTATTTTGTCAGTTACATTTGATTCTTGTATGAACCTCGTTTCTAACTGTCGACTATCACATGCTATAACTTGTTTTTTGTCTCATTAGAGCCCAAAATCTTTATTAATTCATATTAGACCCTCCAATCTTCATATCCTAAACTAGACCTGCAAATGAGTCCATTATGTTGTTTTAAATAAGATCCCCAAATCCATTTAAGTTGTTTAGATGAGTCCCCTACATCTCAAGTTGTCTTAAATAAGACCCCTAAATCAATTAAGTTGTTCTACGTAAGACCACATTTCATAGTGGGCATCCAATTTATAAATATTAAGATTTGAGGGTCTAAGATGAGAAAAAATCTGTTCATTTTCCCCCCTTCATGCCTTTTCATAGTCCTGTACTCCTGTGGCATGTTTCTTTTGATAGTTTTACATGATATATTGCGGCAAACATATATGGCGTGAATATATTCATTTATTGATATAATGATAATTTTCTCTACTTTTTTGTCCCTGTTGTTTTCGCCTCTAATCTCAATTAAAATCAGCTCATGCGAGATTCTAATGTTGTTTTGTCACTTATCAAAGGCCTGGAGAAGTTTGCGAAAGAAGGTGGGTAGAAATGGTAAGACATATTGGTGGATATCGGGAGAGGCCATTCATCGAACAACTTGATGTTCTCAGCAAGCGTTTCTGTGGAGATATGCTCGAATATAGATTTAAGCAACATGAGAAGGAAGAGGAAGGGACAGAGAGAGAGAAAGAGAAAGGGAAAAAGAAAGGGAACGGCAAAGAGAAAGTGATTTTAATTTTCTTATAATTATGTATAACCTTTGAAATGCATTCTACTTTGCATCATTCTGGACTTCTGGTTGATGCCTCTCAGTCTAAACAGCAAGCCAAAAGACTGGATTGTGTATGAGATCGTTGCTGGCTCTTGTACTGTTTCGTCTCAGAGTTTATTTTGGGTGGGTTTTCTCTTAATTTTTTTATTTACAGTTGTAGCTGGAATTATAGTTTTCTTTGTTAGGGTTTCAATAGAAATTTTCTTGGGTGTAAATTTGGTTAGTTTGTAATTGAGGCATATATTCAGCTACCTTACATTAGTACTAACTCATTCAAATGGGGGTTTTGGCTTGCGATCTGATGTGATTGCCTTGAGTTATATTTGGTGGTATTTACCATCAATTATTAAACATTTGGCATTATATTTCTTTATTTTCGTTTCTGATTATTTGCTTTATATAATAAAATAAAATAGCTGGATTACAGTCATAATTGTGAAGGGGTGGGTGAGCATCGAAGGCATTAATTTGTTGTTTATTTGGTCTTGTTTTTGATAGTTATTTGGTCTTTTTTGTTGTTATTATTATTATTGATAATCTAGTCTGAAATTCTGTTATTATTATTATTGAGAATCTAGTCTGAAATTCTGTTGTTGTTATTATTATTATTGATAATCTAGTCTGAAATTCAACTTAAGATTGTGAGAGTAATATTGAAATATACGTACCCTCTAGGTCTCCTAATTCTCTGAGTCACTCATGGTGGGTAGTTTGGTTTTTATTAAACCAAGAGAGAAGGATAAATAAATGTTGGTCATATTGTGGGATCCAGGAAAACAATTTTAGAACTAGCATTATTGCATTGCAATGGATGTGAGAACTTAATCATCTCAAAATTTATATAAAAGTGGCATTTATATTAAAGTTTCATCAAGTTTTATAGATATATTTATGTTATTTCTGTTGGAATCATGACATACAACGCAGCGGAAAAAGTATATCATGACTATTAATCAAAATTAATTAAATATTAGAAGAATACCTGAAACGCTTTCCGAATTTCTACAATAATCTGTCCCGAGATCAATCCAAAATAGCTTCCTCAAGAGAAAAAGCCTCCAATTGAAATCCACCCGTCACCGTAGAGGAGCAATACTGAGAGATAGGTTCTCAAAAATCTATTTCTTCATATTATCTTCATAAGATTTTGAATCTCTTCTCTTAACCTCTCATAAGGCTACATATGAACCCTATTTATAGGATTACACTAGTCTTAGAGATTTTAACTTTAAACAATTCATAATTATCAAAAACTTTATCCATAACAATTAAGGATAGAAATAGAATTGTATTGCATGTATACCTCTTCTAATGACATTAGTGAGACCAATTGGGTTCCATATCGAGAACCAATTATTAATCAAATTAATAATTTTAATTTAACAATCAAATCCCTATCCGATCAATTGTTCATAAAAGCTCTTCCATAATATGGGATTAATTATTAATAAATAATATCTTACATTCACTCCCTTCCAGTATCATTTATTTTAGGCAACTCTTTTAAGCAGGACAACTCACCTATTTGCTCATGCCTAAATTTGCAATTCCCATGAACATAAATAAAAAACATTTTGAAACATCAAAATATTTTATTTTTTATAAGAAAGTAAATTTTTAAAATATTTTCAAAACCACATGCCGGCAGGAATTTAATAGCTTCATGGGAATGCATAATAAATTAACTCATCATAATGAGCATACTGGATCCTATCTAGACATCCATCATTTTCCTAAATGAAATTTAGCAACCCAATGTTTCAGGTTGTGTAGCGCTTGCTAAACAAGCTTAACCATCACATCAAAGCATACTAAATTATCAAATCGAAAATGATAATATCATCAAGTCAAAGGGACCATGTAACAATTTGAACTCTCTATCTCTTAGGTGACTCATCCTAGAGAATTCAAATACGGTCTAGTGCTACACACATCATAATGCGTGCTTATGACATACACCCGGAGAATCTCCATTCTCGATGGTTGAGACCCACCACCATATCTCATATATCGGTGTCATGCATAATAACCTGTTATAACAAAGTTATCCTTTACTAGTTATAGGTTAAGCACAAATTTAAGAAATTTCTAAGTTAGATCATATCTCCAAGCAAGTGACCATCACAGTGCATGATCTAACAAAATAACTTCTAAGGATATATATAACAATTATATAAATAATACCCAAATTATGTGCAACAATTAAATTTATTAACATTACAATATTATTACATAATTTGTATTGGATGTTCAAGGGCAAATTATTAATTACTATTCCAGCAATCTCCCACTTGCCCTAACATCCAATCAGATATAATCCTTACTCCCATCTGTCAAAAACATTTTAAGACAATGGTCTATAAAAGGACATTAAATGTTATCTGCTCAGCCATCTATTAAACCATAACATATTTCTTCTTATTAACCTTTAATAAGATAATTTTTCTTTCTAAGCTTCTTGCAACAGCTCCATTACTATCAAATAATAATGAGAAAGAAAATTATTACAAGAAATAATATTAAGCTTATGGAATAACTCATTAATCCATATTCCTTCTTTTAATGATTTAACATGGCACTACATATTCTGCTATTATTATTAATGATATAAATATAACCCGAAACAGACTTTCTATTATTATGATTGGATTGAAAACTACTTACAAGATCAATAACCTTTTTGGGACACATTTCCTTAAAGAGAGATTGTTTATGTCTTATAGGAACCTTTCCTTTCTTGGAATCTTATTAAGTTGAATCTTTTATGGATCTTATCCATATAAGTAGATTGTGACAACTCTATATATCTATTTCTCTATCTATATAGAGTTTAAGATCTACGATATAGAATGTCAAAAGAAAATCCTTCATAAAGAACTAAATCTTACTTTTACTCATGACATTAAAAAATATCATTCTTAATGAGCAATATGTCATCAACATGCAATGATAGGAATATAATGGACTTACTTTATTGTTCCTTATACACACATTATTTCTTTTTAAGGATATGATTAAAATCAATTTCCTTAAACATTTCATCAAAATGAATGTTTGATTGATTAAGTTCATAACTTTAATTGATTCAATTAATCAATTTTATCTTCTTGAATTTTACATACTTGATTCTATAATATGTAAATATCTTCTTAAAGATATCCATTCAAGAAGGTTATTTTAAAATCCATTTATTGATATCTTATATTCATAACACATTGAAATGACTAAATGGATCCTTATGAACTATAATATTACAATTAGAGGAAAAGATTCTTCAATAATTAATACCCGTTTGTCATCAAATATGATATCAGGTCTCTTACATGAAATCATGTCCAACATGACTTTTGTGTAAGTTTTAGGATTTTTATTCTCCTTGTTACTTTTCATCAAATATATTTTAACAAGGCTACTGTACTATACAGGTGGATGAAAATCCTGTTTGATCTCCTAATTGTAATCAGTGTATTCAACAATAAATTTAGTAAGTAAATCTACATTTACTTTATTACTTAAAGCTCCCACTAAATTTATACAATCTTCAACTCATTTGAAGTTTCTCCCACTGGATTAAATAACTCTCCCACTAAAGAAAACAAATTTTCTTCTTGAGTTATATAAATCCTAATCATCAAGCTTGACTTTATAAAAGAACATATTTCTAGTAATAATTATTGTCTGAAAACTACACTAGGATTATCAATATAATACCTACTACTTTCTTTAGGATAACCTACTAGTAGGATATTATTTACCTTAGACTCCCATTTTGTCCATATTTTATTCTCTGATGAGAATATGACAACTCCAGATCTCCAAGCGTCATACACTTAATTTTCTTCATATCCATGTCTAATATGGAGTGAAAGAAAAAGATTTGGCAGGAATTCTACATAATAAATAATATGCAATCTCCAATGCATAACCTATTAGAAAATAAGAACAGGTTAATGCCCAGCATAAACCTAACCATATCGAATAAGGTTTAGTTCCATCTTTCAGACAAATAATTAGGAGTGATAAATTAATAGATGTCAAAGTACTAACAATTCCATTTTGTTCATAAATCTCTTAAACTCCTAAGAATAGGAACTTGTCATCTGGATCAAATCAGATGACTTTGATACTTTTATCAAACTCCTCTTTAACTTCAAAAATATTCTAATTTATGATGCAATCACATAAATACATCAATATATAAATACATCATATATGAATGCTATAAAATAAGAATATCTAACTATTGCTTTAACATTTAAAGGATCATATACATCTGAATGTATGAAGTCAAGAGTACGCAAGAGCTTTAGCACTATTTTAGAAAAATAGTTTGGTCATATGTCTCTTAGACAATATTTACAAGTTGAGAAATATTCTAATTTAGAAAAATCAAAGGACTATCCTTTATCAATTTATTGATCTTATCAACATTAACATGACCTTGTATTTTTGTGCCAAAGATAAGTTGGATTACCTTGATCCAATCTATATTTTAAGAGATTTATCAATTCCAATAACATTACATTACATAAGAGTTAAGGGTGGCAATCATGAAAATAAACAGTTTTAATTTCATAATTATCAACAAAGCAATTTCTAAACTTTTAATAGAAATTCTATTTTACAAGAAAATAGAAAATCACTACTATAAAATTTAGAAAATGGAAATCAAATTTCTTCTAACATTAAGACAATCTTTAAGTTTCATTTCATGCCCTTCACTCAAAACAGAAACAAATTTCGTATTATTTTTATTTTTATTTACAATGCTGAAACTAGGGCTTTTATTTTCATTGTCAAAGTTAATCTTTTCATGTACTCTTACAACAAATTTGTAAGTATGTAAAGATAAACTAGAATGAATACATCATATATAAAAATCATTCACATTAGTAGACTCTACTAATCAATGGGTGAACTGTCTTCAAAAGACATTTCTTTATTAAGTGACATAATGCAACCTTTACAATTTTCTTTTCTAATGACTTTCATTATTTAAATTTCCGCTTCATGTTTAGAAATCTATTTTACTTTTTAGATTTCCCTCTTAAGAAAATTTTCTTTTCTTAATACTGGACAATCCAGTTCGATATCCATCATTATGGATTTAACCTGCTTAATAATATTCTTTTCACTTTTTCTTTAACAAGTTGTTCAATTCTAATACAACGGTAGTTAAATTAAACAAGGAGTGAGATTAGGAAGTAAATATCACATCAACGTTTGATTTCGATCTTAACTTCCAACAAATCTAATTTGTCAATATATATCAAAACATCATATGAAAATATATATCTGTTTTCATCTTATGAACATTACTTTTATCATTATTATCTTTAAGCAGGATTATG